TCTGAGCTACCTGGACTCTTTATTAGAACAATCAATCATTTTCCTTTGGACCTACGATTTTTTGCCTATGCTGCAGCCACTTTGTGAGCAAGAATGATTTTGTGTGTGTGTGTGTGTGTGTGTGTGTGTGTGTGTGTGTGTGTGTGTGTGTGTGTGTATGCGTGTATGTGTGTATGTGTGTACGCGTGTATGTGTGCGTGTATGCGTGCACGCACATATGTGAGTTAGAATGAATGGCTGTGTGGGTGAGGGATACCTCAGATTTTTCTTTTCTTATTTTGTGTGAAAATCTCTTTTCTACAGATTTTCCAGGGTTTAAGCATTGCTTGCTGTATAAAAAAAACTTTACTGAATTATATACAGTTTGAATGAAATGTTATTTTAAAAGCAAAACAATTGTTTAGTGTTCCATAAAAGTTATGTTGAATTTTGGTCAGATGAATATTTGTAAGTAAAAATATATGCATTTCTGAACCTCAACTTACATAGATTTTCTTTATAAAAACAAAAAAGAAAAAAAAAAAAGACAAAGAAAAGTTGGCTACAGTCGACCTGAATAACAGGCGCTGTACATGGTGCTGTGCAGATAGTAAGCTAGCCTCTTACTGCCGTCAATATTAGCAGGTACAAAGCCTTTGTTTTTGTTTTGTTTCTTTTTGTTTTTTTCAGCCTAATTCAGTAAGTTCTCAGGCTTCCAAGTCAGAAGGAAGGTGGAATGGAGCGGAGTGAGGTAATAGTCATTGTAGGTTTTTGACCCATCCAGGGGAGATAGAACTACTGATAGTGGAAGCCTAAGGGGGCTCAGGTGGGCTGCCTCTGACAGGACTGGAGACCCGAGCCTCCCGACTTCCTGAAATCCTGTCATTAGTGTCGCAGTATCTGGCAGGGTTCAGAAACAGACCTGGAGAGCAGGTCGCCCCTTCCGGAAACAAGCCAGATCACTTCGTGCTTCCTGCAACAGCATAGATCACTGTGAGACTAGCTTGTTCTGCAAACACATCCTAGAAAGCAGCAGCAAGATAGGAGCATCTTCCTTCTATCCTCCAGAAAGCTGCTTCTTGACCATCCCAGTGAAGGCCGCACAGTAGCTGGGGATGCCTGGCTGTTGTGCATTCCTAGAATGAGATGGGAAGTCTTTTCCCAAATGAAGCTAAAATACTAAGTGTTGAGAGAAGGGAAGGGAATCTCCCCAGGATGACTGAAGATGACTTCTTTTTATTTTTACTTGTTTATATTTTGCTCTTAACTTCTGGTCCCTTCAAGGTGAGGTAGAACCAGCCTTCCTTTTACTAGGAGGAAGTCAGAAGCATGGCAGGCAGGGTGTGAGGTCTGTGGTCCAGAAGCTTGCAGTGCGTGTGTCCAGCTGCCGGGGTCCACATCCTCCCACCAGTCACTCCTGATAGGGCTGCTCACCTTCCAGCTGCTCTCTCACCAGCCTGCACCTTCCTTGGGAGACTTAAATATGGTTGATTGCAAATGAATGTTTTTAAATGTATTTAATGCAATGTTTCCTGTTCTCCATATGACCACCCAAGATGCAAACACAGAGATTTCCAAGTTGTTTTTTTTTTTTTCCAGAATATTGCTGATTTAAAAAGCTGTCACAGCAGAACTTGGGTTTTGTGCAGGTGTCAGAGTGCTAGTGTGAGAAAACCAGCTCAAAGGAAACCTAGTTTACTGGGAATGAAGCCTTATGAGGGCCTGCTCATTGCCACTTCTGGTGCTGAGACTGTACCCTTGGATAGCATTTTAACACAAAATGTTACAGCGTCAGTTTTAGGAAGTACCAGTAAATATAAAGAAACCAATAACACATTGCTTGAGACAATCTTGAACCCAAATAGCATGAGAGGGCTGAAGACGCCTTGAACTCTGTGGATAAATCTCGCCTGTGGGTATAAGCAGTGGTCACATAAAAAGTGCTTTACTATAATTAACTTTTCTGATCTGAATGAAGGGAAATGTATTTATTAAAACAAAGCTGTCTGCTGCTTTATGCAGGTGCAGTGTTTGGTCAGCAAGGAAGTGGGAAATGGGACATGGTCTTATGTCTACACCCAAGTTCTTACTGAAGCTTCTCGCTCTAATACTGCATTCTGTTTCTCCTTTGTGCCCTGATTGTAACCCAAAATTTATGAACTAGAAAAGAATGTCCAATTTAATAAGTTGCATTTTTTTTCCTTAAGCACTTTATTCAGAACAATATGTGTTCTTCTGGTAGTGTTTGGATAATATGATTTTAACACATGCTAATAAAAGCCAAGAAAAATCATGGCAACTTCTTAAAAGGAGTCTGTTTTCCAAATGACTGGAGCATAAGGACATGGTAGAAGATGGTGTGAACTGGCTTTTAGAAGCTGTGATTTGTGGTAAGTGAAGGGCTGTGAGGTGGTTTTGCATTGTGGAATGGAGGTCAATAACCTCAAGCCAGTTATGGCTCTCAGAGGCACCTGCAGCAGTCTGAGGGCCCCTCTCTCTGGCCCCTGGCAAGCCTGCAGACCCTTTATGGGCACCCAGTCCCAGCCACCAAGACCCAGCCCCCAACCTGCCGTGTTGTATCTTCCCCTTCCCCGGACCCTCTTACCTCCATTACCAGCACCTGCTGAGGTCAGACTGAGTCTGACAAGTGACCGACTGCTGTCCTTCTGCAGGGACACACAGCTGTTCCTCACTTCCATACTGCGCTGCCCTCTGAATCTAAATCTTCCCACAGCTCCGCGCAAGGCCTCACTGGAAATAGAAACCCAGGGATACCTGCCCCAGAACATGAGGACAGAGGAGTGCGATGAGGTAGCTGTTAAGGGAAGAGAAGTTTGGTAGTGTGAATCTCTGGGGTGCCCAAAGTGACCAAAGGTGGAAGACCAGGCAGCTCCCTTTTCCATAACTTCCCTAGGGAAAATGTACAAAGCCTGAGGAAGGGGACATTGTCTCTCCTTGTCTTGGTAGAGACCTAGCAGAAGGGGTTCCAACATCTTCTAACTGGGGTAGGTCTTACCTTACCTTCTCTGAATGAGCAAAGACTCATTCATTTATCCCATGAGTCAAGTTTTTCTTCAGGACCTATCCTCAAGGAAAGCTGAGAGAACTCTAAGGCCAGGTATAGAGGGCAGAGCCAGCCACTCTGTCTCTGCAGCTCCAGGCTCCTGCTTCTGCTGTTGCCAGGCAGTGTGGCTCTCACTGAGAGCAGGCCACGGACACCCTTAGAGGGGAGCCCCTCCCAAGAATGCTGTCCCCTGAGAGGGCTGATCTTCACAGCCACTTATGGGGGCCCCTTCCCCAACTCCATTCTTTATGCCACAAATCCTACAGATTCTTAAAACAATGCAGTGCTGCGCACACAGCACCCTCAAGGCCAGAGCACTGAAGGAGTGTGTCCCTGTGCTGCACCACGCTCCCAGTGTCCAGCTTCATCCTCCCATCTGCCTCCTCGGAAGGGCTCAAACTGTCACTAACACCAGCATCTCACCCTCAGGCCCAGGTCCCCACCCAGTCTTCCCTCTTCCTTGCTTTGAGAGACCTCGGTTGCTCCAGCTCTCCTCTTACCAGAGACAAGGCCCCTAGCATCTGGACTTTGGGGAGATGAGGTGGCTATCAGTTGGGCACACATTGGGCACACATACTCCTATAGGTAGTTTGGAGCTATAACTGATGCCTGTTGTGTGGAAGCCATGACATGGAGGGCCTCTCGAGCCCATACACAAAAAGAGGATGGCCCTGCTGTGCTCTGTTGCCTGGAGTTTGGAATAGTGGATCCTAACAACTGCTGAGCACACAGTCATGAGGGAGCCCAGGTCAGATCCTGAGGTGTATCATGGGGTACACATCAGAGGTGACTATGGTCATGGACTTTACACGGTAGACCCCACATCATATCTCATACCTTCTTTCCCAACGTCAGGCAGGTTGGCCCATCCTCTTCAGAGCCAGCACAGTGCTCAACAGAGTTCTTAGGTTAGGGAGACAGAAAATGTAATGCCCCCAGTGAAGAGCTGGCTTCTGAGAGAAAACTGCCTGCTGAGAGCCTGAAATCACAGGAGTGAACTTCTCTAGAGAAGACCAGCAGAAGAGAGTGCTGGCATTTTCCTCATGGTGTGGAAGAACACAGCCTTTCCTCGGAGCAGAATGTGCCTGGGTTTGACCGGCTCACAAATAATGCTCAAACAAGGTGGCCAGCCACAGGGGTGGCCACGCATGTGTGGAAACATCACAGGGTCCTAAGTTACTTTTTACTGAAATCTCAAATCCCTGAGAGGAAGAAAGGCCAGCTGGGGCAGCAGCTCAGTGAAAATCAGAGGCTGTCTGGCCCCACAGGAACACATGATCAGATCTTAAAACCAGACTTTAGGGGCTGGAGAGATGGCTCAGAGGTTAAGAGCACTGCTTGCTCTTCCAAAGGTCCTGAGTTCAATTCCCAGCAACCTCATGGAGGCTCACAACCTTCTGTAATGAGTCTGGCGCCCTCTTCTGGCTTGCAGGGATACATGTATATAAATAAATAAATCTTGTTTTACAAAAAAAAAAAACCCAGACTTTAGCCCAATCAGAAGCCAAAGAAATAGGAGAGGAGAAGTATTAGATTAGCCCCGGTTCCACGTATAACCTCACTGTTTTAGGAGCATGTCGTGATGTGTGGTGAACTGCAGTATTAGTGGCTGCCCTTGTGACTCAAATAGGTAACATGGGCAGTACTGAAGCCTGTTCATGCCTGTTCATACCTGTCCTATGTCAGTATGTGGCAGTGTCATACCCATCGAGCTAATTTCAAATCTCAAGTTACTCAGTTGGGGCTACTGGGATGGCCTGAGATGGCCCAGCGAGAAAAGGTACCTGCTGCCGTGCCTGATGACCTTTAGATTCCCCAGGATCCATATGGTGGAAGGAGATAATTGACTTCCTTAAGTTGTCATCTGGCATGTACCCACACATACACACCCACACATATACACATACACTCACACCCCCCACACAAAATAAATGCCTGTTTTTTTAAGGTACCAAGCTAGGCTCAAAACAGTAGATTTATTGTTGGGGGGATCCAATGTCCTCAGAGGTGACACCATTGCCTCAATTGAGTGCAGTGACTAGGAGGTAGGGTATGTTCTGTAGACTGTCTAGTAAGACAGTTATTTTCATTGTCTACAAACCAGGGCTGAACCAAGAACATATTGGTGCTCTGAAACCATCCTCTGAAGGTCCTCCTGTGCAGACATGAGCATGCCAGTGGCCCCTCTGGCGGCCTTGTGATCTTGATCTTGGCAGAAGGCAGTAGTGTTCCAGTCCTCAGATATGCTTAGAGATGCAAAGGGCCTCCATGGGGCTCACCACTCTTTGAGCCTCAGCACCTAGGGGAGTGACATTGTTCTGTAAGAAGCAGCCATGGCCCCAGACTCCTGCCATTCCCAGCCCCCCCCCCCAAAAGACACTGCTGGAGTGTGCCAACAGGCCAGATAGCCAAGGGGGTCCTAATAGGTGTGTTAGGAGGGATGAATCCAGAATTAAAAATGAACAGTTCAGGTAGGTCATTCACAGGCTAGACCTTTACATCCTGTCTCTTTCATCTTCACAGCAGATCTGTGAGGAAGATGGTGATTTGTAATTATTAGTTTGGGGTTAATGGGCCTATCATTGTCTCCATGTCTTCACACATGAAGACATGGGCCCAGCACAGGTATGTAACTTTCCAGAAGCTGCCTAGCTATTGAATAGTGGGGCCAGGATCTGTCTCCAGAGCCTGTAGCCGGAGAAGTGCTAAGTGACGTGAAGCTCCTCCCAGAAAGGCTGCTTCACAGAAGCCAAGTGTGATCTGGCCTCAGACCCGTCTAGAATTATCCTCCTTGCTCTACCAGCTGAGGCCAAGATGCCAGATCTCAAATCTCCAGCACTCCCCGGGATCCCTGGTCGGTTGTTTCCAGCCAGTTCACTTCCACTTGCCCCACGGTGACCCCGAGTTACACCTTTGGAAATCAATCGGGAGGGTTCTCAAAAACATATGCCACTCTGAGCGCATACCCAAAGGACTCTCTGCCCTGTGACAGGGATAACTGCTCTTGTTCATTGCTGCCCTATTCACAGCGGCTAAGAAATGGAAGTAACAGATGAATAACCAAGGTTTGTACATACACAGTGGGATATTACTCAGCTGCAAAGAAAAATGAAATGTGCAGGGAAATGGATGGAATTGGGGAAAGAAATTATTTTAAGTAAGGTAATCCAAACCCAAATGGACAAATGCCATATGCTCTCTCACACGGGGATCATAGTGTCAACTATTCAGTATGATTCATATCACATGGACTGTGCAAGCAAGGAAGCAAGGTGATATGAGGTAAGGATTAACTTAAGGAAAGGCATATAATAGAACATAAATAGAAAGTAGGGAGGTATTATGGATGGAAGGGGTTAGGCAGGGAAGGAGGCCTTGGAGATTAGGGAGATGAGGGTTAACTTTATCAAGTATGAAGAAGCCATTTGAAAAGCAAAGTATGCCCATATACACAGTGTTGATAAAATAACCAAGTGCCACCTGCATGGATTCAAGACCCTTTCCAAAGGATGAGACCAGTGCCTGGTAACCCAGCTAACAACCCAGGTATGGGAGGAAGAGTAGGCCCATGTGGGGAACGTATTTCTCAGGGTTAACTCGACCGATTGTTAGCAATTGCCTTCTGAATACCAGTGCTGAGACCCATAGACAAGGAGACACCAGCCTTAATCATAAGAGGCCTCCTGACAGTGGACAGTAGTGAATAAAGACTCCTGGCTGCACAGGATGCAGAAAATGAGGGACCGATGTGGGCTCAGCCCTAAGTAGTCTCATACCGCCCCCTCTAATGCTCAGGAAACACTGTGAAAGAGAGGCAGGGTGAAGGTCCACCAACCCCATTCCCTAGACTCGTAAAACTGCCGTAATCATTAACTCGCATCAGTTGTCATTACCTGCACGGGGCCCTCCTGAGGTCCCACCCTTTACCTCCAAACTCCTCTTGACTGTCAATAGACCCTGGGAGAGAGGAGATTACTGTCTTTAGTGTAGTGTACTCTCTGAGTTCTCCAGACAGTCGCTAACAGATAGCTTCAAACCCATGGTCACACAGGTGGATCACAGCACAGAATGAACAGACATGAGCACTAGAGAGAGATTTGGTGGGGAGGGAGATGAAAGTGATCACTATGCAAAGCATGCACATGTGAAATTATAAAAATAAATTTTTAATTTTGTTGAAAGTTGTGAGATGTTCCTCATGGTTTGCAGAAAGAAAGACAAAGTGTCTTTGCAGTGGAACTAGGACTCCACAGTAAGCAGAGAAAGCCCAATGTGGTATTAAAATGCCGCCTTACTGCTCGATGAACAAACCGTTACGTGGTGACCTGAGTTTCAGAACCGAACTTTATTTGCTAATTCGGAGGCAAGCTGTCGGTTTCACACGGTCATAAATGGCTTTCACCTCATACTGAATAAAGAAATCGGCCTTGTCAACTTACCCTGTGGGGCTTTCGTGTCTTTATCTGAAAACTTGAAACTGGGGAAGAGCAGGGCCAGCTCTCGGTTGGCATCTTCTCTGTCCCGGCTTCCATGCACAGCATTAAAGGGCATTTCTGTGCCATACTGAGCCCGGAGACTGGCAGCATTGGGACAATGTAAGAGAAACAATTGCTTCACTTGAAAAGAAATGCTTTGCTCTCTGGTAGCGGGACCACCAGCTACCAAATCAGCATGGGGGTGCTTGCTTTTTATAGAGAATCCGAGAACAGCAGCCATGCCAGCAGCTGCTGGCCAGGGGCATCACACACAGGATCTGGCTGCATTTGACCTCTGCCCACAGGGAGACAACAATTCCCGCTGTGTAGGACTAGCACCATGCAGTGTGCCATACAGCTCTTCAAGACTAATTTTGAGAAGAACTGTAACACTGGTAGTGCTAGGTAGGACCTCTGTGCTGAGCACAGCTCTAAATGCCTCTGGCTTCTGATCGTGGACATTCCCACTTTACAGCCTAGGGCACTAAAGCCAAGGAGGGACTTGACCCATTAGGTGGTGACCTAAGGTCTGAGCCTCGGCTGCTTTACTTAGTCTCAGTTAGATGCCCTTGCCCCTTATGACTGCAAGGGACAGCTCTAGAGCTTTAGCTTTTAACTAAGTCCTTTCCTGTTGTCTGTCCATGGGTCCGTCACCTCAAAGGCCAGGACCCCTGGATTTGGCATTAGCTGCTCACTGAGTCCCAGAGCAGGCTAAGCAGGTTTAAGTAAGTGTGCTGAGCAGGAAGCTGACTCCAGAGGGCTGTGGGAGTTGAGTCTACAGTCAGGCCATGCTGCAGCCTTTGACTTGGCAGGCTTGACTGGGTCTCTGAGATCTGTGACTGTGAGCCACACTCAGCAGCACCCTTTAGAAGAGCGGGAGGGGCATCCCGTGGTAGGGGCATTCAGCCAAGACTGGGAAACTCAACCAGGGTAGGAAGATGTCAAAGACTTCCTAGATATATAGAAGGGGACCTGGCCACCAGAGAGCTGATGGCATCACCCACAATTCCGAACCAAACACCAACTGAAGTGTCAGCTTGAGGTGGATGAAGGAACCACAACTGGTGTCACCTTTCAGGATGTTCCCTCCTGGCCACATTGGGGTCACAAGGCCCCAGGAAGGTTCGCCAAGCAGTGACTACATCCTCGGTGCCCTCGGTCCTGGTGAGGATCAGGAGGTGGCTGGGTCCACTGCACATGTGATGTACTAGCTTCTCAAATGCCTCCTAGGCACAGGGGAGAAAAACAGTGACCTGAGGCAGGAGTTACTGGTACCTGAAAAAAGCCAGTGAACCCAGACAACCCACAGACTGGAAGGGAGTTATAAACACACTTGTGTGCTTGTGGACACACAGCCCTGTCTGCCCGCTGTAATGGTGATGGCCAGCCACACCCCAGGACCCCAGGAAGGTAAGTACCCCAGGTGGGTAGTGGCATGTAAAATTATTGTATGTGTGGCTATGTAATATATGGGTGTTGGATCTCCAAGGGTTCAGTGTAGATGCAACTTCCCCTCACCATGCCTTGCAGCCCTTTCTCCTTCAATAACAGTATCCTGGGGTTCCTTAGGGGAAGAGCTCCCCTCCATGTCATCTGTTCCTCATTTCACAACCATGATGCTTAGCAACCGTCGCACCTCTGGCCTAGGAAGTGGTGCTGTGGCCTAAGAGCGATTGGCCATCCTCTCCAAGTAGGCAAATCATAAGCAGAAGCAAGCAGAAAAGGCGTGTAGACTAAAACGGCAGTTAGTGATGTCTTGAGTGGTTTGCCTACTGCCTCGGCTCCTGTGGGCCCTAGAACTTTCTCTTCTCTTAAAGTCCTCTTGTTAAGCATTTTCATTTTCTTTCATGAATTCTGGGAGTTACGGAACATCCTTCTAATAAAAGTCTTTATTCCATTACTTACAGTTAAAATTTTTTTTCCTTGGAGCCATTGTACATGAGCTGTACAGGCGCTAATCATATTCTGAGTGCAAACCCATTACCCACCCACTTGCCGTTCCTGTTCTTGTTCTTCGTATTGCTCTCCCCAACTCCTAAACCTGTCAGCATAGTGTTGGAGGAGGAGAAGAGAGAGTGAGATGGACCAGTAGGAGCAGATGAGCTGACCTCCCCGGCTCTGTGTTGATAGAACACTTGCATTTCTGCCTCTGTCAGGGTTCTCTCTTCATTTGATAGAATGTCAAATCCTGCTTCCTGGATCTGCAGAATATACATTGTATATATGGATATGTCTACAGATACATACATACATGTAAGTGTGTATTCTGCAAATGTGACTTAAGCCCGCATTTACAGTGATCTTAACAGAAAGATAAAAAATAAAGATGGGCAACATTAGAAGCAGTGCAGGTCCTCAGCCCCTCAGGACCTGCCCCCAGATCTAACATTGGAACCAAGTTTGAGTTGTAACTCATCAGAAGCCTCCTCTCCTCAGAACATCACAGCTGCCACTGCCCCCATCCCTGTGTATCCACTGCGAGGGGACCTGAGAACAAGTAAGGTAAGTCTTGTATCTCCTACCTTCATCATGATCTCATCAGCCTTTCCATGGGCCACCGCGTCTGGCTTAATGATGGCTAATGTACAGGTCTTCTCTGGTGACGCTGAAATGAGCCGGGGAGGTGCTGTCAGATGCTTGAGGCTCTGGGAGGCCATTTGCAGTGACACTGTTAGGACAGGCTCCATTGCACTGAGTACCAGGGGTAGGCTTGGCCTCTAGGCTTCCAGCCTCTGGCCTCTAGGCTGTGCCTTGGACTCTAGCAAATGGCACCAATCTGGCACCAGCCCACAGTCAGGAACCCCAGCCTGACTTAGAGGGACAGAGTCTGACTCTTGGAACTCTGGTCTGGGGACACATAGGGGTGGACATTTCCAAAAGGCTGTTTAGGGACAGAAACTTGGAATGACTGACTGAGCTGCCTGGAGACGGGTGAGCAAGGAACACAGGAATAGAGGTGACTCCCTCATGCCTTCCTCACCCCCTCTTGTGGGTCTCGGCTTTCGCTGCTGCCTGCCTTGCTCCCTTCTCACTCTCCTGACTCCTTTGCTTCTGTGAAATAAATCCATTTTATGTGTGTGGATGTTTGGCCTCCGTGTGTGCCTATGCACCATGGGCATCCAGTGCCCATGGAGGTCAGAAGAAGACATTGGATCCGCTGGGGTGGGAGTTCCAGACAGTTGTGAGCTGCCATGTGGGTGCTGGGGATCGAAGCTGAGTCCTCTGGCAGAGCAGCCAGTGCTCTTAATCACCCAGCCTCTCTCCAGCCCCCTTCTGCTCTTTGCCTTTCTTGCCTTGTGGCAGAAATGGTTGCCTCAAGCCCTGGATGAACTTTGTGCTTCTCAACTCCAGCACGTGCTACTAATTTGTAGCTCCCTGTCTTCACTTCAAGTCCCCCCGAGAGAGGGTCGGATAGAGCGGCTTGAGCTTTTTTTTTAATTTCATTTTGGTTTTAACTTTAATTGGCTGTGCTGGGATCAACCTTGATCAGATGCCATATGCTCTGAGAAACTGTAGGGAGAGCTTTGTCCAGTCCAGGAGCCCATCTCTATTGGGCTCCTGTTTACATGAACTTGGCCTTGGTAAGTTATCTGCATTTTCAACAGAATCAACATTTCCCATTATCTATTTACTGCTTCTCAACTTTTATATCTGTTGTGCCACAATGAAACAAAACTGTCTGTATCCAAGGAGGGTTTCTACTGGGAATATCTGTAAAGCCTGTACTAAATAGGCACATGTTATCCATTGGATAAATGTCTCCCAAGGGCCCAGATGCTAAAGCCTTGGTCCCCAGCCTGTGGCCTTGTTGGGAGGTGGCTGAACCTTTGAAAGCTGGGACCCACTGACAGGTGGCCAGGCACAGGGCCTATGCTCTTGCAGAGGGTTGAGGTGCTCCAGCTCCTTTCCCTCTTGTTTACCTGCTCGCTCGGCGATGCCTGCTTTACCAAATGCTCCTGCCCTGTGATGCTTTACCACAGGCCCCAAAGCATCAGGACCAACTGATGATGGGTTGAAAGCTCCAAAACTCTGAGCCAAAAGAGACATCTTGCCTATAGAGGGCTGAAGTGGAGGAGGGTTCATGTGAACAGCTGTTGAACATGGGTCAGTTGGTCCTGAGAGATGGGTGACGGGTGATGGCCTCTGTTGCCCTCGATTGATCAAAAGGGAGTCTGTTTATAAGATGATTATTCCCAGATATTTCATATGGTGACAGAAAAGCTGACTTGCACAGTATATGTCACCCTAAGCAACCACCTGTTGATTTTTCTATGGTTATCATTTCTGATAGACTGTGAACACTTGACATTAAAGTACTCTTACGATTGATTCCGTGATGGATGGGTGGGCTTGTGAGATCACTAAGACAGGCCTCGTCTTCCAGCTTCAGCTCAAAGGGGAAGTCCAGGAAAAGAGGCCAGAGAAACAGAAAGATGTCATCTCAGAAGGCAGAGGGTGGGGACTTGTGCTGTAGCTCAGAGGGACTGGCCTAGCCTGCCTGAGGGCTTAGGTCCCATCTCCAGATAAACACAAACACACCCGGGGGTAGGGGGTGGGTGAGTGGGGGGGATCAATGAGAAGGAACACCCGAGGGTAGGGGGTGGATGAGTGGGGGAAACATTGAGAAGGAACACCTGAGGGTAGGGGGTGGGTGAGTGGGGGAAGCATTGAGAAGGAACACCTGAGGGTAGGGGGTGGGTGAGTGGGGGAAGCATTGAGAAGGAACACCTGAGGGTAGGGGGTGGGTGAGTGGGGGAAGCATTGAGAAGGAACACCTGAGGGTAGGGGGTGGGTGAGTGGGGGAAGCATTGAGAAGGAACACCTGAGGGTAGGGGGTGGATGAGTGGGGGGAGCATTGAGAAGGAACACCCGAGGGTAGGGGGTGGGTGAGTAGGGGAAGCATTGAGAAGGGATGCACGTGAGCACCATGAATATCACCCTTCTCTGCGGGAAGAGACTGTGGCCTTTGGCAGCCGAAACGTCACTGTGCCTCTCGGGAGTGCCCTGTCAGGAGCAGTGGGTCCAGAGTCAGGCCACAGCCCCTCAGCAGGAGTGAAGGTGAGGGGTGGCCTCAAGATGTGGACAAAGTTCACGAATCTTAGCTGAGAGGGAGGAGGGACTGAGGGAGAGAAAGAGTTTCATGTGGTTTTCAGGGTCAAAGAGGCTTGACTGCTCAGGCTATAACAGAGGAGGAAAGAGGCCATAACATAGGAAGGATTATTTCCTGTGAGAGTCAATTCTGATCGTCTTCTCCTGCCCAATCCCAACAGTCCTTACTGTGTACCCGGGAGAAACAGACATGTATCTCATGGGATGATAACTTTAAGGCTTCCTGCTACCAGCTGCATCCAGGCCGGGTTCCCCGGCACCCTATGCCGGTTCCCTGGTATCTTGGCTGCTATTATATCTTCCCCGCAGACAGCCTAACTCTCTGGTCCTCACACACAGCCAGGCCACTCTTCTCATAGGAAGAAGGCCGCAGAAGAGCCACAATGCAGTGCATGTGAAACCTGTGACTGATAGCTAGAGAATTCGGGAGAGAGCGGGTGGGGCTGTGAGCAGAGAGAGGACCGAAGGCTGTGGAGAGGAGAGGCCTCCTGATGTTCCAGAGAGAGAGAGAGAGAGAGAGAGAGAGAGAGAGAGGCAGAAGGTGAAATTTGAACTCTCCAGATCAGACGGAACTCATTGCTCCGTTATTACTGAAGTTTCTAGAAGGATCATTTCCTGATGTCCAATGATTGCCATCGAAGTCATATTTGAGTATCATCCCACAGCTGTCGAATGTACCCCCGGTGCCACCGAAGGGCAGAAAGGAGGTCCCATTTGTTGGGAGCCAGGTGCTGAAGACAGAATGCTCATGGCCAGCTTCCCAGAACTGAGATGGCCCAATAGCCTGGTGACGCCCTTGTTTGAGATGCACATCAAGTCAGAATCCACCTTGCCCACCGGCTCGGCACTCACCTATCTCCTCCTCTTCACCACCACCCTTTTCTCGGGGAGGACACTTGGCTACGCCAGAAAGAACCTCGTCAGTCACCTAGGACAAAGCAGTCAGGAATAGAAAGGATTTAGCCAATGAAAATTATTATGAGGCCTTTCGACATCTGCAGAAACAGCATCCAAATGCAGAGGTTCCAAATGCAGAGCATAAGCCTTGGGGAGGGGGCCAAGGTCATCAGAGTTTGGGCAACAAGGGCCTTTCTAACAGTTGGATGGTGGGGGAAATCCTTGCTGGTTTTGAGCCTTCAGAACCTGCCTCTTAACCAAGCACAAGGGGAGCCTAAGGAACGGTAAAGAGTGGACAGCTGGCATTCAAACAAGGGATGAGGCACCCAGGGCAGTGTCTAGGCCTTCAGCCTTCAGCCTAGACACTGGCTCAAAATCAACAGAGCTAACTGACTATGGCCTGAAGCCTAGACTGTGAGCCAAAAGGAACTTAAGTCAGTTGAGTATTTTGTTATGGGCTGACTAAGTCACTACTCAGTTCTGTAAATTTACCTCCCTCCCTGAAGTCATGACTGAGAGTTTAGTTGTGAGTGAAAGGGAAATGGATGAAAGACGTTCCAGGGGCTCTGGAAAGAAAGAGGCTTCTGAATGTGCATTCTCCCGAGGCCTGGGTGAAGAACAGCCCACTGTAGGACATGAAGGCTTCCTCATGGGGAGGGGCCCCATGTGAGCACACTTGTGAGTCTGCCAGTTGGATGAGTGACCTCCACTTACCACGTTCCGTTCCCTGCCTTCAGCCAGAACCTTCTTCTCGACCTCCAGCTGGTGTAAGATGGTCTTCCGAAGCAGGGGGGCATTGGCTCCCTTCACCACAGCCACCAGCTCGCCTCCCTGGAATGTGTGACAGACCACGTGAAATCCTCTTCACAGCTGGTCATTGATTTCAGGAGACAAGAATGTTTAAGGCTGTGCCCAAGGTCAAGGTTCATCAACCCCATGCCCACCTCCTCCCCGCTCACTGCTGCTGCCCCTTCCTGGAGCCCATCTCACCACGAGGCCCTCAATTTGGCTCTTAGTGCTTAAATGCTTTCTCTCTGATCTCCACCCCTCCCTGATACCCCCCTTGTCAAAGCTTCCTTCAGGGCAACTGGCAGGTAGTTAACGGAGGAACAAGTCACAGAAAACTGTGTGACTAAATGTGACTTACATGTGGCTTATTGACAGAGAGTTATTGAGTGCTCACTCACTATACCAGGCACTCAGACTGAGGCAAAGAATACAGCACTAACCCGAGGAAGGCGTAAGAACTGCCTCAGTCAAGGTTACAGTGGAGCGGTCACTCCAGACACACACTTAGGATAGAACAGCTGCTTTAATAGAGGACTTCGCGTTCGAAGCTTGTCAGCATGGAAGTGGAAGAGTGAGTTCCCAGTACTGGCTACGGCAGTCAGGGAGGCTTTCGCAGTGGTCACGCTCAGAGTGGACCTGAGCTTTCCGCTTTCATTTTCTCCACGTGTATCACTGAGAAATGGATCTGAGGGGTAGTTCCTGTAGAATGGCCCTGCTTCCGTTTCTCTCCGTCTTCTCGTGGACCACCATGGGTTGGAGACTGTGGCCTGAATCCCCACAGATGATTGTGATTTATTTCTTAACCGCCATGGCCCAAGTAATCAAATAACTTCAGCAAGGACTGCATTCTGTGACAGCTCTGGTGGCCAGTGGGGCTGGGTGGGCGGGCGGCTCTCTCCTTCCCACTGAGCGGTTCTTTCTCCCCACGACCTCAGCCATACAGAAGCTGGGCCTCACTACCAAAGGACAAAGATCAAGGGACATTTTAGCCTAAGTTTCTAACGTGGGGCTGGCGAGATGGCTCAGCAGGTAAAGACGCTTCCCACAAATGATGATGACCTGAGTTCAATCCTCAGGACCCACACGGTGGAAGGAGAGAGCCAACTGACATCTGACCTTCATGTGAGTGCACAGACACAGACACACATACACACACACACACACACACACACACACACACACACACACACACAAACACACACACACAATGTAATACATAATTAAAATAAGTTTTAATATGTGACACTCAAGGTGCCGAGGCTAAGAGCTGGACTAAGTAACCCAGACTGTCTGTCAGGAGTCCTGGGGGAGCAGACCGTGGTTTCCCTGACTACCATGAAGGGGCGGGGCTGAGTCTGCACCAGCCTATTCACTAGTTGCCTCCTGAGTTTGGGAGGCAGCCACAACCTGAGAAGCAAGGGGTGCAGCAGTAGGCTCTAAGGGGCATGGAGCTGGCCCATCTGAAGACGTCCAAGCCACTCGTCACCACAGAACCTCGTGCTTCCCCGGAGGCTCCCTTGCTTTTTCTTTCACGTCACACTGTGGCTGTCAAGGCAAATACACAGCTTCTCTATAACGTATTCATTTCCTCTCGAAGTTCCCCTTGGCAGAGAAGAGAAATCGCAAAACTGTGCTCTGAGAGTAAAGCTGCAATGTATTGTGTCCAAGTCTGAGCATATGCATTCCAGGACATGTGTCCTTTGCCACGCACAGTCACCTAGGAAGGCCGACCAGCCACCAGTGGCCACGACGGAGCTGTGTCTTTCCTCTTCTGCAGCACGGGGGCCCACGGGCAGGAATGAACACAGCTGGGCATGCCCGTGTCTTAGGGAAGTTCCGCATGGGCTTGTGAATTAGTCTAGAGGGTGTGTCAGGGACAGCATCGCCCCTTAGCATTGTTGAGGCTTCACGGTGGCTCCAGAGAGCTGATGAATCTATCTGAACACCAGATTTCCAGTCAACAAACTGTTGTGGGAGATTAGTTTGCACTGTCACTGTGAGACCTCAATGGAGCTAAACCTTGATTCAGAGGGCGGAGTCCATGTCCAGCTGGTTGGAATAAACCATAGAGTTTTCTGGCTGACCCAGAGGAAGATAAAGAGACACAAAGAGGAATGGGGGGGGGGTGCTTAGAAAGATTCAAGGGTCTTTTTGATCTTGGAAAGTGGAGAGGAGAGCAGCTGATCTTTTCTCTGTTACTCTGTGGATCTATCAGGTTTATACCCTAATATCTGACTCCAGAGCTTTATTTATTAATAAAACAATAAAAGAAGCCACTATAACAGACAGTCCTGCTTCTGCAAAGGTACTTACCGCATAGAACAGAAAGGTTGGCTCGCACTTCCCTCGGTATTTTTCCAGAACATCAAGACAGTCTGCCTCTGCCTGCAGAAAGCCAGCTGTCAGCAGGTGCCCTAGGACTGTCAGCAGGTACCCTAGGCCGCAGCCAGTGCAGGGTCACAACAGCGCCATGCCCTCATGACGGGCTTCCCAGATGAAGCCCAACTCTCTGTCACGTCCTGGTGACACTTATGCCAGTGGCACTTCCTTGAAGAGTCAAGTGAGAAGGAGATGAGCTTCTCTGGCTCCCCACTCAGCTACTCCACTGGTCCAGGGAACCCCACCATCTGACATCCTCCTGTGGTTGTGACAGGCCTAAAGGTCCTCAGGCCTCCCCTCACTGTCTATGGCCTTTAGAGTCTGAGCTCCTGAGAATTAGTGTAACCCTGTGGGCTCCTGTTGTCTTCAGTGTCCATGGCCCTTGCAATGCATCAGTGTGCAGTGTGTCAGTGGGGTCTCTTTCACACCTCTATGGAGTTCCCTGTGGACACCCTTCATGACATAGAGGATGGAAGTCCTGAAACACTGGGTTCTGAAAGTGACATTTCAGCCAACAATGCTCACTAGCCAAGATGGAGATGCAGATGCACCTGAGTGACATGTGTTCTTCCCGGGCATACAGCTTGGTGGTGAGGCTGACGCCTTTATGTCTACAGGAACCACCGAACACCGTGACAGCCGCTGCCTTTCTATTTGAAAAGGGCAGCTTGTGCTTCCTGCCCCTTGCTTCTTCCGTGTTTAATTTGTTTACACCGCTGTGTGGCTTTTTGCTAAAGAAGGAATCTTACCAAAGCAAAATGAAGAAGGTCCAAACCAACCTCGATCCTCATCTTCTGGAAGAGGCTAACCACAGGTTTACAGGGGCCACACCAGCCCTGGTAGACGTCCACAACTGCAGGAGTCAAGTAGCGACAATGTTCAGCAGATAGCCATGTCCTTGCCGACAGTCTGCTGCACACCTCCACCCCCTGCAGTGGACATGCTTGGAGCATAGGTGTCAACCTAGCAGATCAGGACTGAGCGTAAAACGCAACCATCCCTCATTTCCAACATGGCATTCTGGATCTGAAATATTTCTGAAGTAGCTTGGTGTGGTGACTCACGACTGTAATCTTAACACTGGGGAGGTGGAGGCAGGAAGATCAGATGTTCAAGACCATCCTCAACTATAAGTGAGTTTATTTTACATGAGATCCTATCCAAAAAAAAAAAGGTGGGCGGGGGGAGGGAGGAAGAGATGAAGTGAATATAGCTAGAAGAAGAAACATGTTTTAAGGTGATCCCTTTACCTTGGGGGGATCAGGCATGGACCAGAGTGCTACTCAGTGAATATCTGAAGGGAACATAAACTACTCCAAAAGTAGGAGGTCACTATAGGTGACCAGGCAGCATCCAGTTGATGCTTATTCACTGATAGGAAACATGGCTTTCCATTACCAATTAGAAAACCTAGGACAAGAGAAAAAAAAGACACCGGGATGCCTGGGGGGAAGGGGGCTTGAGCATTTGGCATCTATTCTGAGAACACGACTTAGGGCTTCTTTGAGAATAAGACCTTCCTAACTGACAGATGTTTGGATTCCAACACACCACAGGCAAAACCGCACTTGGATGAAGTAAGGAAAGTGTCTCTGAAGACTGAGGATGCTGTAAACAGCTCTACGGAGGAAGGCAAGTTCAAGTCCAAAGGGAAAGAAATGGGGCCCAAGTAAAGTCTCTGCAGTGTCTATACTACTGCTTCCGAGGCCAGTGTCTGCCGGCTTCTGTCTCACTGACACTTTCCACCAGCTTCTCATCCTCTCTCCTACTTGGCTCTGGGAGAAGTGATGAAGAAAAAGACTGATGGGGTGGTCCCATGAGTGGAGGAGGTGGAGGGTGGGAACACTGGGAAGGAAGAGCATTGCAATTTTACTCTGACGGACAGGAAGCCAAACAGAGGATACTTGGTGTAAATTTGCAGGCAGATGAGAAATGGCAGCAGCAGATGAGACTTCCAGTGTGGATGGCTTTAGAAACAAGTTTCTCCTGGCGCCAGAAAGATGAATTCTCTCTCACTGTTAACTACCCCCTCCACCCGCATGGTTTTGTGTGTGTGTGTGTGTGTGTGTGTGTGTGTACTCATTCCTCTAACCTTCCCAGTGAGAGAAGGTCTTGGAGGAGCCTTCCACCATTAAACTATTCAGAGTAGGCCTGACATAGTCAGTGCTCAGGAAACATTAGCCATGGTCACATGAGTGATTAGCAGGGCAGCCAGCACATGGCAGAATCTGTAAAAGATTATGGACTGTTGGCTAAAAAAAAAAAAAAAAAAAAAAAAAAAAAAAAAAAAAAAAATGCAAACGCTTTGTTTCACCCTGAAGCTGTATTTAGCTGCCTAGACCAGACACATGGGTACAACAGTTAAGCCTTGGCACCATCAAAAAGGCTTCATAATCTCCCCAACTGGAGAGTGTGCCAACACTCACACCCACACACACCAGATCAATGGGACTAGCATTATTTAATATCCATTTGGCCCCAGGCTTGGACGAATCTGCTACAGATGCCAGATGAAAAAGCCAATAGTGTTGTGTTAGAGTCTGGAGAGACAGACAGGGTCTGTCAAACTGGAAATGTGGTGGAGAGCTTGTCAGAGCCCTAGGGGTTCCCATGAGGAGGGAAGTGGAGACCAGGAAAGATTTCACAGAGGCAGGCTACTTTTGAGCTAGGCCTTGGAATGAGAACTGTGACTGTCCTCAGAACAGAAAACATGGAGGAAATGAAGACATGGGAAAACCATGGCATGCTCAGGAAAGATGTCTCAGTTCAGGACCCACCTCAGGAAACAGGAACAGAGGGGCTGGAAGGATGTGGAGTTTTCAAGAGAGGGCACATTCTTGAATGCTGAATGGTCGTATAGATAGACAGATAGAGGAATAGAGTGCTGAGAATAACAGAATGCAGAGAGACCAAGAGAAGAGGAAGAATTAATGGGTAGGACAGGGTGGGCACTGCAAAGACTCCAGTCTCCTGGTAAGCACACCATTATGTTAGCCCCAGCATCTGAGGATGGGCTGGATTTCATGACAGGTTTCTAATGAGCACAATAAAGTATGGATACGACTTTAAAGATTAACTGGACAAAAGGCCAACTTGCAGCTGTGTCCCCTCAAGGCCCCAGCTCTGGAGGAAGCAAGTTACCATGATATGAGTAGCCTCAGGTAGAAACTGATGGCAAGAAATTGTCTCTGGCCCCAACAACCAGGGAGGACATGAACCCTGCTGACAACCACTGAGTGAGCCTGGTCCACCAACAGCCCTATAGAGCTTGGAAGCAAGTCTGCTCCCAAGTGAAAAGCCATCTGTAATACACAAACTGAGTCCTGGTGAAGCCTCTGGGACCAGAGGCACCCAGCTGGGTTGTACTTAATCCTGGCCTGCAGATACAGGAGGGTAGTAAGTGTATAAGCCACTGTTGTGGGTAAACCAGCAATGGGCGACCGATCCAAAGAAGATAGGTGTGGACAATGGTCGTGCAGGCCCGGGTTGTTCCCAATTCTCTGCGATATCTCATTCTTTCTCCATCCTGGGAGTTCCAGGAAACCCCAGTTTTCCTCCCCAAACATTCTCCTTTTGTGCCTCAGGTCATTAAGATTTCCAGTGACTGGCCACCAAACGGGGCACAGCAATCAGCTCTAAACCAAAAGGACCGTGCTGCCTGACTGTACTGACTCATTCACCGAACTGAATTTACTGATGTCCAACTACATGAGAAACAACAGCACCCGCTATCCTCAGGGGGTATGCCCCAAGACACTGTGGAGAGCAGAAGCTGGATAGGACCAAAGCGGATACAAGCACATCAGGACGGAGACAGTTTGATAACTAGCTTCTGAGAGAATGATGAGCAGGTGGTAGATACAATGTGGATACCCCGGACAAAAGAATGACTGGTGTCCCCCAGTGGGCGGGCATGAAATTTCAGCACTTCTCAGAATGGTGTGTAATTTTTAAATTATGAACTTACATTTCTGGAATTTTCCATGGGACTATGGTAGGACGCAGGAAACTGAACCAGGGAGAGTGACACCATAGATACGGCAGGGCTACTGTGCACGCAGACAAAGAAATTGCCTGGTTCTTTTTCTGTGTGTTTGTACGTTTTGAAACAGAGTCACAGGCAGCCCAAGCTAGCCTCAGACTTGCCACGAACCTTGAACTCTGAGCATTCTGCATCCAGCTCCTAAAGGCTGGGATTACAGATGCGTGCCACCATACCTGGCTTATGCAGTTCTAGGGATTGAGACCCAGGCTTAAAAGCAAATGCAGCTTGTTGTAACCCCTTCTTCACATGCATTACGGAATGATTTCAAAAAGAATGGATCAGGGGACATGGTTTCATTTCGAATCACCGGTCAGTCCTTTGGAGCCGAGCATTTCTTCCCAAAGCTCCTGGGTGTTGATGTTGACCTGCAACCAGAAGGATCAAAAGCAGCGTCAGTGAGGGCAGGGATGGGAAGCCGCTTCCTTTTCTCCACTGCTCTCTCTTAGACAATATTATTTTTACAGGCAAAGATGTGTTACATTTGTTTATCCTGCAGAATATTACCGTAACTGTGTAAAGGTGTGTTACTTTTGTTTATGCTATATTTGTTTAACAATGTAAGGACATGTGTTTAATTATGTAAAGATGTGTTGTGTCTGTTTCACCTTTCCTGCCTAAGGCACCTGATTGGTCTAGTAAAGAGCTGAACAGGGGGGCTGGAGAGATGGCTCAGAGGTTAAGAGCACTGGCTGCTCTTCCAGAGGTCCTGAGTTCAATTCCCAGCACCCACATGGTGGCTCACAACCATCTGTAACGAGATGTGGTGCCCTCTTCTGGCCTGCAGTTATACATGCTGTATACATAATAAATAAATAAATCTGTAAAAAAAAAAAAAAAAGAGCTGAACAGCCAATAGCTAGGCAGAGGAAGGATAGGCGGGGCTGGCAGACAGAGAATAAATAGGAGGAGAAATCTAGGTTGAGGAGAAAAAGAAAAGATGAACGAGAGAAGGAGGAGGAGAGAACAAGGAGCTGGGCTGATGGGGAGCTGGGGAGCTGGCTCAGTAAAATGATCACTGCACAAATATGAAGACCTAAGTCTGGGTCCTTAGCACCTATGTAAAAAGTGGGGGAATGGTGATGTGCATCTGGGGAAGATCCTGGGAGCTCATTGGCCAGTCCTTCTAGCTGAAATGGGGGAGGTCCAGGTTCAGGAAGAGATCCTATTTCACAAGGTAGAGAAGCAACTGAGGAAGACATCCTGACATCAACCTCTGGCAGACACAGGCATCAGTTTAGGTACACACACCACACACACACACACACACACACCACTCACAGACACACATACTCACAGACACAGACACACACACACAGAGAAACACCCCAGAATCATGCTCCAAGGTTTCTGTCAAGCTTCTTTTGCATAATTATATGGGATCTCTCCTCAGCTGTTTTATTTCTATGACTCGACATTTGGTCTCAAGCCAGCGGTGGCATTGGAGCATGTTCTGGAGCCTTTACAGTCCGGGGCAAAGCTGGCACATTATATAAGGCAGTCTGGCTAGGCACTGAAGGTTCCATAGCTCAGTACCCACATCCAGGCCTGTCTCAGTTTTCCTGTCTGCCCAGACGTAACAAGCCATACTGCAAGCTTTCATTGCCGAGGACGGAGCCACGAGCTGCCATCCCTCTCTGCTGTGATGGACTAGCTCCGGTACAGTGAGCCCAATGAACGTCTCTCTTGAGCTGCTTCAGTCTGGTATTTTGTCACAGCAAAGAGAAACGACAGGGTGTTACTTTGACACTAGACACATGAAAGGATCATGAGAATTACAACTTGTTCTTTAAAGTTCTTTTTTAAGATTTTTTTATGTGTGTGGGTGTTCTGCTTGCATGTATGTCTGTGCACCATTTGCATGCCTGGTGCCTGAGGAGGCCAGACACTGAGGATCCCCTGGAACTAGAGTTACAGAGGCTGTGAGCTATTATTCGGGTGCTGCTGAGAATTGATCCCAGGACCTCTGAAGAGCAACCAGTGCTCTTAACCACCAAGACATCTCTCCAACCCTATACAACTTGCTCTTGATAAAAAAAATATGTAAAGGTCTATGTTAGGATATATTATCCATCAATTACAGCAGGAAACCATATAATGTGTGCAGATCCTCTATTATAGGTCTCCATTTCCAAGGAAGCACCCTCTCCCTCCCTCCCTCCCTCTCTCTCTCTCTCTCTCTCTCTCTCTCTCTCTCTCTCTCTCTCTCTCTCTCTTTGTGTGTGTGTGTGCGTGTGTGTGTGTGTGTGTGTGTGTGTGTGTGTGTGTGTGTGTGTGTGTGTAGACCCAAAAGAGAAAAGATCTTTTGAAGCCTTAAGTGAGAGAGTTGGACTGATATCATCTTGGCCCCATAGCTACTGCCCTGAAGCAAGTGACAGGAAGGACAGAATAGCCCTGTCACCACCCAGAGGTTTAACTGATGTCATTGGCATCTCTCTCCCTCTTGGTCCCCTTCATGGAGTGAGCCACACCAGCCCTGGGACCAGATGAACTGTCTTACTCCGGGTTGTAGGGTATATCAGCATGGACAATACTTAAACTTCCCCAAGGCCTGCATTTGGAGAGAGTGAACAGATTGCTTGGCATCTTTTGACCAGATTATTCCTTGATATCATGTGATTTCTGCATCAGCCACAGAAAGAACCCTGAAGACAGAAGACAGGGTTTCTGGGTTGGTTGGAGCTCTTGGGCAATGAATTCAAAGAGCGACCTCATTGTGGGTGGAGAAAGATCACACACACACACACACACACACACACACACACACACACACCCTCAGCAGATGGAAGCACTTTGAGTACTGGGTCATGTTCAACTCTGAGAAATAGTATAAAACACCACTAACAAATAATATTACCCCCAGGGGGATACAGGGCATTAAAGGCTGAACTAAGAAGCACACAGGCTGTGTGAGACACACCGAGAGCATGTAGGCTGGCCTGGAGCCATCGGAGTCCCATCTCTATAACTTTGCAGTTTATGTGTTACCTGCCCTGCTTCTGCACAGGGCTCAGAGAGGTTGAGGAAATGGTTCGCACAGCAATAATGAGGGAGCCAGGTACTCAGAATCTACCACAAAAGACCCTCACTCTGGAGCTGTAGGATGTCAAGGCTTCATGACCCTTTGGGATATGTATACAGTCTCACTTCACAGGTGCTACATAGAGGGACTCTGTCTCAAAACCAATGAGAATGAGGTTAGGGGAGGAGGAGGAGAAGAGGAAGAGGAGGAAAGAGCTGGCCTGTCCTATGTGCAAGTGAAGAAAAGCAGTCTACAAAGCAAATCCTCATCACACAACACATCTCAAGCCTTGCTGTTTGAACAAAACAGTGCCGGGAAACTGGTCACCACAAAGTACACAGATGCATGCCCAAATCCAAAGAATGTATATCCTGTGCATTTCTGCAATTATTATTCAACAGAAAATAAGCTTGGGGAATTAGGCTGCTGCATCTTCTCTGGGATTTGTGGTTTTATGCTAATGCCCATTAAGAGCTTCCGCCTTGGGGCTGGAGAGATGGCTCAGAGGTTAAGAACACTAGCTTCTCTTCCAGAGGTCCTGAGTTCAATTTCCCAGCAACCACATGGTGACTCACAACCATCTGTAATGAGATCTGGTGCCCTCTTCTGGTCTGCAGGCATACCTGCAGGCAGAACACTGTATACATAATAAATAAACCAAGGGCTTCTGCCTTAGTCGGGTATATTTATATATAAGGTTGCTGTTTCTAGGTGCTCCAGGTATTTCTACTTTAACACAGAAGGGTAGAGCACTCGGGCTCCAGAACACTGTCGCATACTGCTAGCAAGTAGAAAGTCATCTTTATACTGCACCCCACACCCACACCACCCTCTCCAACCAAGTGCTTGGAGCTAGCGCCCCTAGAGGCTTACCTGCAGGGCAGTCTCCTTCTTCTTGCTGCCCATGGCTCTGCAAAGAAACCAAACTGTTCAAACCAGCAAGCCTAGAGCCTCTTTTAAAGAGACGGTAAATCAATGTACGGATGCAAAGTGCACAGAGACACAGACTGGCGCACTCTAGCTCTCTCTTTCTCCCTCCCTCCTCCCGGGGCCCCAAGGGATCATCAGGCTGTTTTCGGAAGTGGGGCTGGCGTCTGTAAAGCCCCTTCACTCAGGAGCCCAGAGGCACCCGCAGGCAGCACTGGCAGTTTGCCACATTATAGTGTCCACTGAAGAATTCGAGCCGATAAAGAGGGTCCCGTTGTCCCTACAAGTCTCCATGAACTACTGGGAAACAGCCCCTGCGAACGGTATAGATACCAGATACCGGGGCCTTGGACGAAGCCAGAAAATCTCCAACTCGACTCGGCAGCGTCTTTGCAATGGTCGTCCTAGCAACCCAGCACCCAGCCCACCGCTGCCAGTGGGGAGCTCTCATTGGCTGGAGGGAATGTCAGGTTCTAGAGGCACTAAGGTAAAGATCCCACCCTTCCGTGCTCTGTGCAGCTTGATTCCCGCCTCTTTCCCGCCCGCCTGCCAAAGCTGGTGTACAGCTTTTCATCCCATCTATCCATGACATCCTTGAAGAAGGAGTACCACGCGGGAGATGGCTTTCCAGGAATATGAGAATTGTCTTTAAGCCTGCAAATAATTGTGAATTCAAAATTAACTATGGGAGTCAAGTTCACATATCCCTAACAGGTTCAAATAGTGGGTATTAATCCAAGCATATCAAAAGTCTGATTTATACCACTGAAAGACAGAGATGGCTGCGTGTGGCTGAAGAGGTGACTCAGGTTAAGAGTACATACTGGTCTCCTAGAAGATCCGAGTTTGATTCCCAGCACCCACATGGTAGCTCACAACGGCCTGTAGCTCTAGTTCTAGGGGATCCCAAGCCTCTTCGGACTTCCTCATTCTCCTGGCACACGTGGCACACTTGCATTGTATCCAGGGAAACACACACACATAAAATGAAACAAATAAATCTAAAAATAAGAATTTAAGTATACGGTTTGAACCACCAGTCTGCCCTCAAATGCATCACCTTGGGCTACCCCGTTTTGTATGCTGCTACTTAAAAGACTTTCGGGGGTTGGGGGAGTCTTATTTATTTATTTATTTATTTATTTATTCATTCATTCATTCATTCATTTATTTATTTATTCATTTATTTTCGAGACAGGGTTTCTCTGTGTAGCTTTCTCTGTGTAGCTTTGCGCCTTTCCTGGAACTCACTTGGTAGCCCAGGCTGGCCTCGAACTCACAGAGATCCACCTGGCTCTGCCTCCCGAGTGCTGGGATTAAAGGCGTGCGCCGCTGCCACCACCACCTGGCGGGAGTCTTATTTTTTATATGTATGAGTGTTTTGCTGCAAATGTGTCTGTGCCTGGTGCCCAAGGAGGTCAGAAGAGGGCGCCAGATCGTCAGATCCTCTGGAATGGAATTACAGACAGTTTTGGTCCATCATGTGGGTCCTCTGGAAGAGCAGCCAATGATCTTAACCATTAAACTATTTCTCCAACCTCTGGAACTTGATTTTTTATATTTGATAATATTAGTCAGTGAGATTGTTTTGTTCAAAAATAAATCTCTGGTAAACATACTTTTTAATTAGACTTATGCTAAGAAATGTGCTTATTATTTTGCTTTGTTTTAATGCAAAAATGTCTAACTGTGGCTAAGGAAATGCTTTCGTCTGCAAGATTAACTTTCGTCCTGCAAGTCATGCTCTTTGCCACAAGGTGGTGACTTGCTCAAAGAAACCCCCTCTGAGACTCAAATCAGCAGGCACATCTTCATCAAACGGCCCCAGAGCTGATGGAACTGTGTGGAACGAAGAACAAATCATCTACTAAATTGGGCCGTGTGCCATCTTCAGTTTTTAATCTTAAACGATAAGGAAATAGAATCACAAAGGCAGAACTGAAAACTTCTCAGTCAGACGGATTTGGCTGGATGCCACATCTTCTACGCCCCTCCCCTCCACACACACACACACCCCCAAGCCTGGAAAAGGCAAGCCTGTGTGGGAGCCCATTTTCAGGTTCCTCATGGCTTTACCCAGCATGTCCCCATAGAGGATGATTAGGACCACGGGCCTGAGTGCAGGTGTCTGAGATGGTCTGCACTTGGCTGTGCTGGGGGAGGAGGTCTTTTGCTCCACCCCTTAGCGTCTCTATAAATACCCTGGGGCAGAGACCGTCAGGGCCTGTAGGAAAGGGTCCTAGGCCCTCTCGAGGCTATCCTTTATTTTCTGTTTATCTCCGCAATATAAATCCTTGTATCTAATATTTCCTGCTGCTCACACTTAAGAAAACTCTAGGGAGCTGTGGGGTTGGTGGGTAAACGCTCCGCAAGCCTGGACCAAGTGTATCCTTCTTCAGCCTCAGTTTCTCATTTTTAATGAGGAATATAATTCTGGCCATCCAGGAATGTTGTAGAAAAGATTGACGGTGCTGGGCAGTAGCTCCAGGCAAAGACCACAGTGGCCATCCCACCCACATCCCTTGCATCCTGGTGGAGCTATTTGATTAGTTTTCCTCAGTCAGATTGGAAGAGGTGAGTGCCACTCTTTTCTTTCATTATTTAGCTCAGGCTGGCCTTAACTTGTGATTCTCCATGGTGCTGGGATTGTAGGTATGGACCGCCATAGCTTGATGAACTACAATTTACCCAAATTGTATGCCATGTTTTGTTGTTTTCCAGTGGGCTTAGTGGCGGTACCTGAATACTGATACTTTAACTACCTTCTGCGCCCCGCAGCCCACAGAGTCCCGCCACTCAGGCTGCAGCCTGGCCGGACAGTCCCACTGGCACTGACTTGACCCCTGACGCCAAATGTAGTTTTTAACTAAGTCTCTATTGTTCTATTTACCAATGAAGACTCAGGAGTCAGATGTTGGGGTGAAAACCTGCTAGATCAGAAAAGCCAAGAAGCAACCAGCAGACCTTCCTTATTGTCCAGAGACCCAGCAAGAGAGCATCTCTCCACTTGACCCAAACCAAAAAAGAATCTCCAAGTCCCTCCCTACTCCTTCCTGTGGGCCTCTCTATCTATCTTCCCGGCTTCTCTGTTACCCTCTATGGCCAATTCCTGTCAACTAGTGGCTGGCTCTGCCCCCTGATCCAAGGTTGCTTTTGTTAACACAGTCTCGGATTTCACAGTGAGCTCAAATATCCTGCAACAGTGCTCATTGCTTTTTTTGTCCTAATCTTTGCCTACCCGCAAGTCATGAAGCCTGGCTATCACTGTTTTCAAAGAGTTATAAAAAGCTCCAAGTCTTGGAATTATAAGAAAAAAATATAATGAAAATAAATATTACAAAGTTACCTCTGAGGGCCTTTAGGGGCTGGAAGGATGACTCAGCGGTTTGGAACACTTACTGCTCTTACAGAGGACCTAAGTTCAGTTCCTGACGCCCACATGGTGGCTTCCAGTCGCCTGTAACTCTACTTTCAGGGGATCCCATACCCCCTGCACACATATCCATTCACTGAGGCACACATACATACACATGCTGGAAAGGGATGGGGTGAGTTACCTCTACATTTAGGCTTATGGTTCCCTGTCCTTAGTCTTCCGCTGTTGCTCAGGCTGCTTGAACTTATGAGTTCAAATAACCCTTCATCCTATCCAGTAGAAGTCATTCTTTGGTTGGTTGGTTGGTTTGTTTTGTTTTGAGACAGGGTTTCTCTGTGTACCTTTGGAGCCTTTCCTGGAACTCATGCTGTAGCCCCGGCTCGAACTCACGGAGATCTGCCTGCCTCTGCCTCCCGGGTGCTAGGATTAAAGGTGTGCGCCACCACTGCCTGGCAGTAGCTGCCATTCTAAGTGCACAGAATTCTGCCCAACTTAATTTCAAGTTTTAGTTGAAAGTTTTACTTTGATAATTGTTTCTTACTATGGTTGTAGCAAATAGCACAGAAAAATCCTTTGTGGGCTCTGCTGGGTTTCTCTCAGTGGTAACATTTTAAAAAATTTTTAGTAGGCTATCACAAACAGATTAGTGATGGCTGCACAGTTCATTCATCTCAGATGGCCTCGGTGCTGGTTGCTGTCCTGGTGTGTGTGTGTGTGTGTGTGTGTGTGTGTGTGTGTGTGTGTGTGTGTGTGTGCGCGCGCACTCTCTCTATAAACATCCTAATCCTTGCACAAGTTGGTGTATTCACTGCCATTCAGAATTGTGAACAAAGGAACATTATGTTGCCCTTTATAACCACGCCCACCTTCCTCCTGGGTGTCTTCCCAGCCCTACCCTTAACCTCCAGCAATTGTTGTTCTCTTCTCTGTATCTAAGCTTTTGTCATTAGAAAAAGTTATATAAAGTTATATAAGCCATATCATGTAACATGCGATCTTCTGGGGACCAGCTTGCTCATCTGATATAATTCCCTTGGAATTTGAAATCCCCCTGGCTACCATCCCAGTTGCTGCATGCATTCATAATTTATTTCTTCTGCATGGATGTGCATTTATTCCACAGTCTTGGTGAACCATACTTTGCTTCAAACTAATTTTTGCCTGGGATGTGAGGGAGGAGTCATGGCTCGTATTCCCACATGTATTTCTGGCTGTGTGAGCAAGAGGTGTCCAGAAGAGTTACTTTTTTTTTTTTTCACTGAATTGCTTTCTCTTTTGTAAAAAAAAAAAAAATCATCTGGCTAGGCCAGGCATGGTGGTACACACCTTTAATCCCTAACACTCAGGAAGCAGAGGCAGGTGGATCTCTATCGGATCCAGGTCAGCCTGGTCTAAATAGCAAGTTTTAGGCAAGCCAGGGCTATAGAGTGAGACCCTATCTTAAAAAAAAATCAACTGATTATACTAGTGTGAGATTTTTTTTAAGGTTCTTTTTTTGTGCTATTATTGGCCATTAGATAACAATTAAGGTTATCTTAAAACCACATAATCAAGGCTGGGCGGTAGTGGCGCACGCCTTTAATCCCAGCACTCGGGAGGCAGAGCCAGGCGGATCTCTGTGAGTTCGAGGCCAGCCTGGTCTACAGAGCGAGTTCCAGGAAAGGCGCAAAGCTACACAGAGAAACCCTGTCTCGAGAAACCAAAAAAAAAAAAAAAAAAAAAAAAACCACATAATCAAAGTCATTCAATTTTATTTTATTTTATCTTTTAACTTAGTATACAAAGCAGTATGTTTAATTATAGCATTTCTATACATGTTTTCCTTTTCAACATTCCTTTGGTTATTTTTAATTACTTTGATTTTCATACAATCTTCAGAGTCAGCCTGTTAATGTTTTTTGAAAAATTCTGTTAAATTTGAGTAGGATTGTGCTGACTCTAAAGATTAGCTCGGGGAGAACTGACGTTTTATTGATGTTGAGTCACCCAATCT